TGTTAGAATTATAACTATTATTATTATTAAGATGATTTGAGAAAACAAAGCGTATGATTCAAAGATGCATTTAAAAAGTATATTGTATATATTGTGAGATATGTAAAAAGAAAAAGTGAAATAAATAAAAAAAGGGGGTGAAGGGTGATATTAATTTTCTAATTAGTGTATTGCAAGATAATTATTTTTTAAAAATATATTATAAATTATATTAAATTTATTTATTTAGAAAACCTTTCAGTGTGTGTGACTATTGAATACTTTTATGTGAAGTATTTTTATAAATATTGAATAGTTGTTTATTTGTATTCGTATCGATAGAAAATTGCACTGAGAATTTATATGCAATGCATCATATGCACTTGTAATACCAATCAAACGGGTTAAAAGATTCTTTTTATTTTATTTTATTTTATTTTATTTTATTTTATTTTATTTTATAATTTTTTTTTTTTTAAATAATCAATACTAAACTTATATCATTCGTTTAAAAAAAAGAAGACACCGGTAAAATGTTCATTATTCATTTCTAAATAAAATACAGTATTATATATACATCACTGTATACTGTATATATATATCGTTAATTATTCAATTGATTATAATTTTATTTTATACGAAAAAAAAAAAAATACCTTATTGTTTTTCATTTCAATGAATCAAATCAATGAATCATTTGATTTACCTGCTCACGATAGGAATTATTAGATGGTGCATACACGAAGTTGCATACATAACGTTTAGATTTTGTTAATATTATCTAAAATAGTTAATTTTAGGAATCAACTAAAATACAAATATATTTATATTAATTATACAATTTTATTTTATATGAAAAAAAAAAAAAAACAAATACTTGTTTATCATTTCAATGGATGAATCATTTGATTCACCTGTTCACGATAGGAATTATTAAATGATGCATACACGAAGTTGCATGCATAACGTTTAGATTTTGTTAATATTATCTAAAATTGTTAATTTTAGTAATCAACGAAAATACAAATATATTTATATTAATTATACAATTAATATTATGAAATATTTGTTTATCATTTCAATGGATGAATCATTTGATTCACCTGTTCACGATAGGAATTATTAGATGGTACATACATGAAGTGTGTTGTCAATACAATACGCGCTTTACATGTTTATAATATTATACATACTTTGTTAATTGTAATCATTGAATAATTGTTAGATAAGATAGAATAACATTTGTTTAATTATTAATAAACAAAATAATGAGACGCGAGTTTTAACGCGGAATTTCCGTGTGTGTCCTGGTGTGCAGGTCCATGGCCGAGAACATGGCAAATGTTATTTTCTCTCTTTCTCTCTCTCTCTTCTCTCTCTCTGTCTGTCTTCCTCTCTTTCTCTGTTTCACTATTTTTATTAGTCTGTCTCTTTCTCTCTCTCTCTCTCTCTCTCTTTCTCTCTTTCTCTCTCTCTCATGTTTAGGGCTGATGCACGCCACGTGAAAAGTCGCGGAGGCGTGGCGGCGACGAATTTAGATTGTTGGCGCCTCCTCAACGAGAGAAATAGACTTTAAGAGATGGGGTGTGGGGAATTTGCCTTTATTATTATTACACTTTACCCCTCTAACCCCCTTCTTCCTCCTTCTTCCTCTTTCTTCCTCCTGCTTGCCCCCCTTTTACTTCCACTTCCTCCCTTCTGCCCAATTTATCTCTCTATCTCTATCTCTCTTTCTGTTTCTCTCGCAATCTTCATTTTTGTTTATTCAAATTGTTCATTTTGGGGATAACCAAAACACACACACACACACATACATGGTTATGCTTGCATTTGTTTAATTTTATTTTTTTATTTATTTGTTAGATTGTTATTTAAATATTTTCCACCCCTTTTTTCTTTTTCTTTTATCTCTTTCTCTTTCTAACTCACTCCTCATTTTTATTTATTTAAATTTATTTTTTTATAATAAATATATTTTTACGTAACAATAATATTATTTTTGTAATTTTAGTATTTTTTTTTTATTATTTTTTTTTTATTTTACGTTTTTATAATTTGTAATTAATATTTAATTTAAATTAATTTTTGTTTGTAATATTTAATATTTTTTACATTTATATTATTATATAATAAATATATATATTTTATTTATTTATTTATTTATATAATATATAATATATTTGTTAGAATTGTTAATTTTAGGAATAACCAAAACACAGGAATATTATTTCCTTTTTTATTTAATTTTATTTATTCATTTAAATGCCATATTTAAATGCCACATTTAAATGCCATATTTAAATACCACATTTAAATGCCACATTTAAAAAACATATTTAAATGCCATATTTAAATAGCATAGCACATTTAAAACTCCCCCAAACTAAATTCTTACCCCTTTAATAAACAAAGTATGTTATTTTATTAATTACTTGTTTCTTCTTAAATAATTTCACTTTATTTCACTTGTATATTCTAAAGATTGTTTTTTTTTATTTTTTTATTTTTTTTTTAATTCAAAGAAAAGGTATGGAAAAAAAAATGTGTACTTTAAAAAAAATAGTGGCAGCAGCAGCAGCAGCAGCTTATCTTTGCTAGGTTCTGTTTTTTTTCTACTACCCTTCCTCCCTTTACTTACACCCCCTGTTGTGGTGGTCGACAAAGTCGTCGTTTTTTTTTTTCTTTTTTTCATTTTTTTTTTTTTTTTTTTTTTCTTTATGGATCGAATCGAACATGAACTTATTTTAAGTTAGAATGGTAGCGTAGTTTGAATCGATCTCGTCACGGAAAACACGTCATGCATTCTACAACCTGATGTGTATGTGTCTGTGTGTTGTGTTTTCTGCTGCTAGCTACCTATGCACATGCACAATGTACATATACAGGTGTATATGAAAAATAATAAAAAAAAAAAGCACGAGAAAGAAGAAAAGTTTTCACACAAGCTTTGGCAAGAAACGTTCAATGCACGTGGGAATAATAAAATGTCTATGAAATATTTCTTTTTCTTTCTTTTATTGTTTTTTTTTTCTTTTTTTTTTTTTTTTTTCTATCAAATGCTTATGAACTACACGTCGGTAATTTTTTAGTTAACCTTTTTAACTTATTATTATTTAAAAAAAAAAAAAAGTAAAAGTCAATATGATTTCTATTTTACACACACGTACAGGGATTTATATTTTCGAATGCACATTGGTGACTTTTAGTTAATCTTTTTATTATTATTATATTATAGTTAATATTATATTATATTAGATTATATTATATATTATTATTTATATATTATTTTATATTACATTTTATATTATTTATTTTATTATTCATATATTATTTTATATAATATTTATATTACATTATATTTATCTGATATTTATTTTATATTTATTATTATTTAATATATAATTTAAATATTGTGATAGAAACATGACAATATACAGTTTTTATAAAAACATTTATATATACATATACGTACATACATACATATGTATATATCTATGTATATATAAGTATTATGAGAAATCGATAAAAATGTGGCACTTATAAAGGTTTTTGGCATAGTTTTTGTGAGATAATGGTCGTCCATAATTCCTCTGGGTTTCTTTTGGCAACGAACCCCACCCCCCAACCCACCCTCACTCCCCACCCTTCTTTGACACTTGTCGCAAGAAAGTCTCAAAATAAGATTTTCATTCTATGACAGTTGGGAAACGTGTGCGTCATATTTAGACTTAAATTCGTAGCAGCGGAGTCTACAATCCAACGTTTGTCGTCGTCCTCGTCGTCGTTGTCGTCGTCGTCCTCGTCGTCGTCGTCGTCGTCGTCGTCGTCTTACAGAAATATAGAAAGTAACAGGGATATTTTTACATTTACGTTGGAAACCTCGTTGGTATTTTGCCGTTCCATTAATAGAGAAAGTATAGTTGAGATAATTCCCATTCGATTTTATTTCTAACAACCTACTCTACCCACTACCACCACCAACCACAATTTTAACTCAACTCAACTGCAATTTTTCTCTCCCACCACTTTCTGGTTTTTCAACTTTGTATATAGTTACTTTTTATTAGTCATTTTATTTGATGTTTTATTTCAACACAAAGTTGATTTTATTTCTAACAACCAACCACTATCACTATCACCACAATCACAATTTTAACTCAACTCAATTGAATTTCAACTCAACTTCAACTTCAACCTTTCTCCCAATACTTTCTGGTTCCTTTTATTTGGTATATAGTAACTTTTTATTAGTCATTTAATTTGATGTTTTATTTCAACTCAAACTTGGTTTTATTTCTAACAACCAACCACTACCACTATAATCACAATTTTAACTCAACTCAATTGAATTTCAACTGAACTTGAACTTCAACCTTTCTCCCACTACTTTCTGGTTCCTTTTATTTTGTATATAGTAACTTTTTATTAGTAATTTAATTTGATGTTTTATTTCAACTCAAAGTTGATTTTATTTCTAACAACCAACCACTACCACTATCACTACAATCACAATTTTAACTCAACTCAATTGTATTTCAACTCAACTTCAACTTCAACAAAAATTGGTTTTATATTTAACAACCAACCACTACTACTATTACTACTATCACAATTTTAACTCAACTCAAGTTGAGTCATATTTGAGAAATTGATCTCAATTCAACTTCAACTTCACTCCCACTACTTTCTAGTTTCTTTTATTTAGTATAGTAACTTTTTGGTAATAATTTAATTCGATGTTTTATATTTCTTTTTCTTTTCTTTTTCAGAAACTTTCGAAGAAATAAGAAAATGCGTTAAATAATCATCAACGAAGAAAATAATCAACGAGATTAATAAAAGGATCGAAGAAAAAAAAAATCATGGATCAAAGAGAGGATTTTTTCCTCATTGTCATGGAAAATAAAAAAGGATGATCAAATTTAGTGAGAACATTCGACGAATAATAGTATAATAATTACTACGTATAGTGTTTGAACAAAATTAATTTTATTCGTCGTACCTTTAATTCTATTTTTATTTTCTACTATATATTTTTTTTTTTTTCTTTTTTTCTTTTTTTGTTGAGTATATTTCATTCGAATGTTGTGCATAACATTTGCATTGATGCATAAATCGTGAAAACAACAACAGCAACAACAACTTATGTTTATTGAAGAAAAGTGTGAAGAAGAAGAAGAAGAAAAACAACAACAAGAAATAATTAAAGAAGAATACAGTGTGAATATATACAGCGATTGGTTTATACTTTACTGTAAATTGTATAACGTCAATTTTGATGTTTATAATAACGTGACTACAGAAAAGATTTTCGTGGATAAACTAAATTAAGAGGAGAAGTGTCATATGGCTCTGGAATATGGTACTACTACCTACAATATGCACCACACGAATCAATTAGGTACGTAATGAAATTCATTTTACTTTTTTTTTTTTTAATAAATAAATAAATAATAATAATAATAACAAATCATTTAGATGAACAAAATATGTGCTCATAATTATGAAAGTAGTCTAATTGTAAATCATATTGCAAGTCTTGTTTGAAAATGTTTTTAAAGAATTATTTTGAATTTATTTATTATCTTCTTTATTATATATAAATTGCGTGTTACGTTGTTTGTCCGCAATGAACACCTAAACTACTGAACCAATTTTAATCAAATTTAGCAAACTGTGTGTAGTTTCATCCAACTTGAAAGATAGGATAGTTTATATTTCAATTTCTTAATATATATAAATTACGTGTCACGTTGTTTGTCTGTAATGAACTCCTAAACTATTAGACCGATTTGAATACAATTTAGGAAACTGTGTGCAGTTTCATTCAACTTGAAAGATAAGATAGTTTATATCTCAATTTATAATCGCAATATTATTTGTTTATTAACAAAGACGTGTGTATCGGACTGATTGTGAGTCACAGCAACGCGTGGCAGGGCGCACCCCTAGTATTTTTATATTTATTATTGAGATTTAATATCAATTAAATAATATTATATTTATTATTATTATTATTATTATTATTATTATTATTATTATTATTATTATTATTATTATTATTATAGTATTTTATATTATAATTGTATTATAATTGTAATGTTATTATATTAAGAAACATTTGAATATTAAATTAATTTAATTTAATTTAATTTAATATTGAAATAATAAAACATTGTCATTAATATAATTAAAATATAATATAAATTAATTAATATTATAATACTAATTATAGTATTTTGCATTATAATTGTATTATAATTATATTATAATTAAGAAACACTGGAACATCAAATATTAATTGTAGATAATATGGAATTAACAAAACATGATCATTAACATTATTAAGACATAATGTCAATTAATTAATTATAACAATATTAATTATGATAGTATTTTATATTATAATTGTATTATAATTATAATATTGAAATATCAAAAGCATTATTATTTAACCAGTCATTTTTACATAAATATCTTTTTCAAATTACATCGAATTTATTTCATAATTAAAATAATGTGCTGTTGTGTGAATTAACAGATAAACCTTGTATTTTATTTTATTTTATTTTATTTTTTTTTTTTTTTTCTAATTTTAACTTAGACCACTTTTATAATTATGGGCACAAATATGCATTGAAAATGATTACAATGGAACAATAAAAAAAAAATATAATTTAAAATTTACAAATTACAAATTACAAATTGAAACATGACAATATACACCAGCTGTTTTTATAAACATTTATGAATTATGAGTTTAGAATAGGATAGGGTTGAAAGAAAAAGAAATGATTGGGGAGTAGTTTAGAAGAATTAAGTTATTAAATAAAACATAAATGAAATTTGAAATTATTATTAGGATTTTTCATTGAAAAAGGTTGAACTTTGTAAGGTTTAGAGTATCTCGTAGTTTTGTCATCAGTATGAAAGTGAGCTTATTCAGTGTTCAGGATCTAAAAGCGAAAAGTTTCTCTTTCTTATTCTTAAGAAAGAGAAAGATAGAAAGAAAGAGATAGAGATAAAGAGAGAGAGAGAGAGAGAGAGAAATGGTTACCTCTTTTTCTCTCTTTTTCTCTTTAATGTGTAGTTGTATATGTGTGTGTGTGTATATGCGCGTTCACGTTTTAAGAGAAGACGTATACAAATGTCAGCCTATATATAGCGGACGTTATTCTAATCTTAGCAGTCGGCCAACAGCCAGAAATACGAGCAAAAAATCACTATAACTCTTTCCCTTTGTCTTGTCAAATGTATATATATATATATATATTTATTTATGTATTATATATGTATTTATATATGTACATATACACTTGAAAAAAAAAACTTATTTAAATATATCTTACCTTTAATATTATTATATTATT